ATACTAGTATATATATATATATATATATATATATATATATATATATATATATATATATATATATATATATATATATATATATATATATATATATATATATATATATATATATGAAATCAAAGGCTTAGAACTTGACCTAAAAGAAATCACCAGATATCTCACAAATTAATATTCTGTTCAAACACTGACTGAATCTTGAAATTTTAAGAAAACTCCAGAGACGAATCAAAAGTTCAATAATGTCAGTTCTATTAATCAACTAGTCTTAAAATCCACCTCCAGAAGAAACCGATTGAAATAATCCGGTGTTTTAGACTCATTTTCACACCATTTCAAGATCCTTCATTTAATAAAAGATTTTTTAAATGGTAAGCAAATTCATGCAGTGAAATCCCTTGACAAAATAAGATCATTCCTACTTAAAATATGAAAGAGAAAATGCAACAGTTAACAGTGAGGCCGTCAGCATGACCAGAAAGTGAAATAAGTATATATATAAACTGAACAAAAAAGTTTCTTGCAAGATAAAAGAAATAATGAACTATTTAAATGTGACATTTCAGAAATAAAAAACAAATCCTTAATTCTTATCAGTGATAAATTGTGGCACCTTTTGACGCCAATTACGATAATAATAAAGTAACAAACAAAACAACCAAAGACAAAATTTTAAATGTTTTAGTATTAAAATTTTTAAACAAAATACAATTTTGTGGAAACAAACAAGCAAACGAACGAATAAGGAAAGCAAATTATTTGATCACCGAATAACGAATAAAGGTAGAACTCCCAAATATTTTCAAAGCTCACCATAAATAACAAAAAAAAGAAACCTATTTATCATGAAACATTCTAGTTATATGATTTGAAATGAAGATTTATACAATAAAAACAACAATAAAATCGAGAGGAAGGCAACATGGAGAAAGAGGAATAACAGGAAAGATAAGGAACTGGCCATACATGGACAGTGATAGAATTCAACTGAAGGCTCATCAATGATGATCACTATATTGACGTTAGTGCTAACTAAATTATTTAATCATTTAAATTCAGCAAAAAAAATTCTTATTTATATCCTAACTAAATCCATATTAATTCAATTGGATAAAAGAAAATAAAGCTGTTTTGTTTACTTAATTCTCCTCACTAGAATTAACGAAACAAGGTCAAAAAATGGCCCCATTTTGCTACATTGCATACTTCCTGCATGGGTAACCTATGATAACAGGGAAGAACCGTGATCTCGCATTATCTACATAATATCTACCCCAGATTCAACGAATGCTGATCTCTACTCATGTAAGAATATCTAGTAAATTTCGAATCTCAACAGTACCACATACACACAATACTAAGCTATATATAAAGGGCATAGAAATCGCAAAGAATATAAGCAAAGGAAAAAAAATATACCATTTTTTTGTTCTATGATCAATTACGCGAGGTAGGGTAGACTGTAATACATTGAGTGCATGAACTGAGGAGGGACGAGAGGAACTCTTACATGAACGATCCAAAAATGAGGTAAACACACACATACACACAAACAAACACACATACATATACGCCACACATAAACTCCACACATTTGGAGTTTATGCTACAGATCAACGCCCAATAAATTCATATATAGCTATATAGTTTAATTTAGAGTAGAGAATGAGGGAACTCACAAAAACCAATGCTAAAAAAAAGTTGAAATGCACTTATGTCAGAAAAAACCTTTGCCTCTTGCACTTCCCTTTTACATTGACTGTCACATTGCTCTCAAATGTCATTTGCCCTTGACAGTATAAATACTGTTATCAGTTTAACAAATCAACGGAAGCCAAAAGGTCATCCACACTTGAAAACGTAACTGCATGTCAAACGACTCAACCACTTTTATAGGGTCTAACAGCATTGAGAGAGGAATGCATTCATATCCACAAGGACTACTTTTCAAAGTACAAGAGAGAGGCTTTTCTAGCGCAAGTACACTATCATATTTAAGAAACAACCGAAAAACTGTAACCGGAGTAGCTTGGGGTTGAATAATGCAAGTCCAAAAAAACCCGATTTAAGGGTTCCTTTGCAAAGAAGCGGATAGGATTTCCATTTAAAAAATATTGATTCATCAAAGCGACATTCATTTTGCATCAGTGTAATCCTGCATCATCAGCGAAAACTGTTTCCAATCCCAACCGACTTAGAGGAACAACTCACCACTTATCAATTAATTCTGTGCTATAGCCCGGGTAATCTTTTCGATACCAAATTTGAGCAGAATCATCGAACGAACCATAAATCGAATTACAATTTTTTCCAAATGCTCCTGGGACTTAATAATTTGAGTAAAGGAACATTCTAAAAAAAGCACTGGTTAGATTTAGATTAAGAACAAATCACAAAATATCAATCTGACAACTTATTTCAACAGGGAAAGAAAACCGGAGGTAGAAGTGAAAATTAAAAAAAAGACAAACAAACAAACGAAAAACAAAGGAGGAAAAGGAAAATAGACACGCATATACTTGTATACATTAAAGTACACGTACTTATAGCGACCGTATTCATAGATTTTCATTAATAATTTAAAAAAAAAGACTTTTAAATGACTAAAAAGTTGATGGGCAAAAAACATTTTTAAAAATTCTGCAGCTAAAGACAAACATGTGCACAAAGTTATGCAACTGAATCTGATAAGTTTTAGGAAGTAAGGCGAATCCCGAAGTTTTTCAAATTCCGAGAATTTTCGAGCCAACAACCAAAAAACAAAGTTCGGAAATGATTGAAACGCTTATCTAGTAGACACGAATACAGCTGCTACCGAAATCTACAACATAAATTAAGCCATCAGGTGAAACGCATAAGTCGGTAGGACGATCAAGTGATGAAAGTTGCGAGGCGTTTGTAGATGTGGACAGCTGAGGAGATGAAGATGTTTTTACAGTAGTGTGTGCTGCGGACATATTGGCTAGTGGTGTTATAGCACTTTCTCCGTCTGCTCTACTACCAGTGTCACCTGGAAGTCCTGGTACTACACCACCAAATGATGCAACGCACTGCATTCCATCCAAGCTTAACACCTAAAAACAGGAGAAACGATTTGAAAAGCCCCACAATTCGTTCTTCCAAATCAGATTGGGAAGGTCTAACCTGAATTCTATTATTACGTGAATCGCAGACGAGAATATGTTCTTCATTATCCGTTGTTATTCCCTGGGGGCGACAAAACGAACCTTCATTATCACCTTCGCTGCCATACATTTTCATATCAACTGTACCACGCGATGACATCACCACAAGGCGATGATTATTGAAATCACTGAAATTTAACTACAAATCAAAAACCAAAATTAAAAATCCCAAGAACTAAATCAAAAAATCCACTGGTAAAAATTTAAAAAATATATAATGCTTATACTACTTCATTCAGTATTAGGATTGTTCACTATCTTGTTCCAAAAAAATATAGAAAACTCGACCACCTTCCAGAAAAATATATAACGTTTATACTACTGGGAAATATATGATGCTTACACTACCATATAATGCTTATATTACTATAATGCTTATACTACTTTTACATGGCTAACTCAGCAATCAGTGATGGATGTTTACAAATATGCGCCGACTAAACATACGTAATAACCAGCTGGCCATCATGTAAAAAGCAAACGCCGCGAGGTGAATCCAGATTCTTGTAGTTATAGAGTGAATTGTCAAAACCAAATTTACGAATAAAATGCCCTTGCGGCGAAAACATCTGCAATATTATGAATATAGATAGACAATAATCATGGAACACAGCAGGAAAAATTTTGAGAACTGACCTGAACACGATGATTTCTAGTATCCGAAACCGCAATCTGATTAAATGAATTTACTGCGACTCCCCATGGATAATTGAAAAGACCAGGAGTTCGGCCACGTTCACCAAATTTCAGCAGAAAATCTCCACGTTCACTGAACACTTGCACACGATGATTATCCTTATCGGCCACAACTATTTCGTTCTGAAATTCATTTAAGCAGTTTGAAATAAGTCAAACATACACGCCAAGTATCCAGAAATTCATGAAAATTTATACGATAATTAAATCTCCATCTTCGGTAGAAGTATGCTACTACATTGCTAACGATTAACGTAACATTAATTGCACAGCTGACGACGTCAATAAAGAACTGACATCACCATCATAAAAACACATGACAACCGTCGTTCAAATTTCTATCCTTAAAAATGTTTAACGAGTTAGCTCTAAATTACGATAACAAAAAAATCATAAGACCAGCACATCAAACAGCATTTCAGAGAACTAGCCATGGAGTTAACGGTAATGCCTGCTGGGCGATCGAACTGTCCTGGACGAGTTCCTGGAGAACCAAACTTGTGCAAGAAGTTACCTTCCTTATCGAAAATCTGGAATTTCACATATATTTGCGTATAAGAAAGTAAATCACAAATGTATATTATATATATATATATATATATATATATAT